CCGGTGAGCGCCGCGGGGGTGCGCGGTGGGGCCGGGAAGGCGGGCGGGATCCCGGGCTGCTTCCCGGAGCGGGAACTGGATCTGGGAGCGGGTTCTTGGAGCAGGATTTGGAGTCTGCATCTAGGGCTGGGAGAGCGACCTGGAGTCTGGGAAGGGGATCTGGGCAGGGATCTAGGGTCTGGATCTACGACTGGGATCTGCAGTCTGGAATTGACTCTAGGAGTGGGACCTGTGGTCTGGATCTGAGCCTGGGAGTGGGATCTGGGCCTGGATCCCAGACACGGGTCTGGGAACTGACCCTGGGATCCCCATCCGGATCCCATCGAGGAATGGCCAGGGCCGACCGCTGTCCATGCAAACGGGTATCCAACGGGGCCGGGGGCTACGGTACCGTCCGGAAGGGCAGCAGGAGCCTCTTTCCTTGTGAAGCTTCTCGGGATTCCGGGATCAAGCTGGGCAATGGATCGAATCGCTGCAGCAGGTGAAAACTGATTCATCCAAACGTCAGGAAGTTCCATCCAGGCGGTTCCCTGCTAGGGCAGGAGGACAGGGGTGGAAACGCACTGAGCCAGGCTGCTTCCAGCGGGGAAGGAGCTCCCGCTTGGGAGCTTAAAATGCCCGTGGAACAGCAGCCTGAGGGTGTTCTACCATTCCGGCTCCCTAAATAAGCGCAGCTTTCTGGAAGGGAGGCCAGTGCTCAGCAGGATTCTGCCTTTCTTAAGAAAACCAGCTTTTCTGAGTCACACTTCTGTTTTATTTCGTTTTTTTTTTTCTTCTATTTTTTTAAACACAAATGGAACTTTTGAGCAGTTGTTGCTTTTCCTTCCTGCCTTTCCTTTCCTCGCAGAATTACGGCCAACAGCAAGTCACAGCCCGGGACGATGACGTGATCCCTGCCCCACGCCATGGAGATGGGTCTGGAACCGGGAACGGCCTCCGTGACACGGGCACGTGCGCGAGGGGAAGAGGGAGGGCGACACCGGAACCGTCCGGCGTGACTAAAACTGCTGACTTCATTCCT